TTCATGGGGTCACGAAGAGTCGGACACGACTTAACAACTAAACAACAACAACAACAACATACCATTCTACAATTCTGAGCTTTCTGCATGTACAAGTTTGAATGAAAAGTAATGCCTTCTATGTTATAAGTCACCAGCAGATAGCATTACTGATGTATTAAAGGCTCTAGTGTGTTCTTCAGAATCTGTTCTTTCACTTGGCTCGATGGGAAGTTGCTGTAAGAAAAGGTTGTGTTTCTATTATTTATGAAATGGAATCCTGCAGTGAGTACTCATCAATGTGCTTTAAGCAATGTGGTATGGTTGAATTTTTGACTTCTGAAGGAGTCCCTCTAATTGAAAATCACCACCAAATGCAGATTGTTTATGGTGATGACTGTGCTGGTATGAGTTGTTATGCATTGCTGGGCCAAAAAATGTAAAGATGGTGAACTGGGAAGAACTGATTTGTGTGATCAAGAACAACATGGATGACCTGTGACAGCAACCTACAAGTTTCACATGGGAAAGTTTAATGAACTGATTAAGGACAATTGGTGGACATTCAAAGGCAAATTGCTGTCAAGCTTGGTATTTTACAGGAAGATGTGGATCACATTATCAGAAGGTTTGTGCAAGATATATGCTAATGACACAGACAAAAGCTTCATATCTGAAGTTTGCCAGCAATTGTGTCATGCTATGACATTTCTTAACATGAGCAATTTCTTAACAGCTTTGTGACAGCTGATGAAACTTGGGTTCATCATTCAGAAATGAAGTGGTAGTCCACGGTATATCATCCCAAAGAAAAAAATCAGAACCCTGGCTCGGCAGGAAAACTTATAGTTTTTGGGATGCAGATAGTGTTATTCTCATGGATTTCTTTGAACATGCATCACTACCAGTTCAGAGTGCTACACTGCAACACTCAAAACTTTGAAACAATGATGAAGCAAAGTTCAGAAGCACAAGAAGGAAATTTTGCTGCAATGTGAGAATGCTAGATCTTACATATCATGAGCCACCCAAGAGGAAATTGCAAAATTGGATCTCACTGCTTACTCTTTGCATGATACAGTCCAGACTTGGTACCGTGTGACTTCTACCTTTTCCCAAAAGTGAAGGAATACCTTTATCTGATTCAAATAAAGAGGTGGAAAGGACTGCCAGAACCTGGTTGAAGAGACAAGTTTCTTTCATGAAGCTTTAAGAAATTTGTCCATTGTTGGCAGAAGTATGTAGTGAATGGTGGTGATTATGTACAGAATAATACAAAAGAGCTCATTTCAAGGAGTATTTTCTTGTTTCATTTATTAAAATATTCCTTTTAAAACTAAAGTTACGGAGGTGGAAACATTACTTTTCATTCAACCTCTTATTTTTTTCTTAGAGATCTATCCATCTTTCCACTGTTACGTATATCCTTTTTTTATTTTAAAACAACTAGGCCTTTTATGAAACCATCCACTGGCTTTTCCTGCTATTGTTTATTTCCCCCCCTCTATTGGAATTGTACATGCATACCTAGATACCTTTATTACAGTCACTGACCAGAGTACAATAATCAACAGTGGATGGAAAAAAATAAAACAGTTCATTGATGCGATCAAGGAGTGTCTGCTTTTACAGTGTAACACAATTTTGCCACATTCATAGAAATGGAATCATGTGGTCTGATAATAACAACTGTACATAAATATATCAGAATTGCCTGGGTACTTTGTCAAATGGGGAGTGATAAGATGGGCCTTTGCATCCTTATAAAAACACAACATAGTAGAACAATGGCTTCAACACCCCCTTCTCCACAAGGGCACAGCCTTAGCTCATATGAAATCTTTCTGTATCTGCTCTCAAGAACTGCCATAGGGAGCAGGCTACAAGAATGACATGGAAAAAGATGTTACACTGGACATACAAAAGAAACCATCTGATGTCTTAATAATTAAAAGGGATATACAAATAACAAACCAAGACGGTGACCTGGATAATTTTCCTATATTGGATTTACAAAAGAGGCTTGTTAAAGTTTTGAAGAATTTGGTGAGAAAGGACAAAGAAAAAAATCAAAAGAAATCCAGTTCTATGACATTATTTGAAGGGATTAAAGTTCAAGATTGTTAAAAGTAAAAGGAAGGAATATAAAGTTAGTTTATTCAATCAAGGTTAAAATAGATATGTTGTTATATCTGGTAACCCTTAAAGGATTTTTGTTGACATCAGGACTGAAATGACGATGCTTTATGGACTTGTTTATAAATAAGAGATGGGATGTGGGAAGAAGAGATCATCTGTTATATTTTAAGAGAAAGGTGATAGGTTACTAAAATTGTTTATACTTGTGATGAAGGGGGAAGTCATTTCTTTATATATTTTTCTTTTTTTTACTATATTATTTTTTCTTCCTTTTCTCTTTCTCTTTCTATGTTTTTTTTCTTTCTCTCCTGCACCTTCTACTTTTTCTTCTTGTTCTTTTGTATTTTTTTTAGTTAGTATTAGTTTTTATTATTGTAATTGTAATCTTTAATAAAATTACTTTTAAAAACCGAACACAATAAGCAATCAGGCTGCTAACAGGAGACAACATATACAATCAACAGCATTTAGGACACAACATTCTCAAATTACACAGCACATGGTTCTCAGAAGCATATAGCTTCTCTGGTCAGTCTTCTCATTATAATCATGTAGGGACATTCAAGCAACAGACTCTTTGTCTGTAGTAGAAGGGCAAAGAACTACATTTACTTTAACATGCATTATGTTTTAATGTTTCATATCAAAAGGGAACTCCTTTCTTTATTGCTACTTTTCTGAGCAAATCAGGTAGAATACTAGTACTCAATTCTGATTACCTTAAATTTCTTCACTGGTTTATTCCTAGACTAAAATGGTGCTTCTGAATTTTGGGAGAAGGGACTTGAGAATGGCCTATGATGCAATAAAGAGAAGATTCTATAGTTCACAGGGGAGGGGGGGGGGTCTATACTGCTGAGACTACAGCAGATGTGGCTTTAAATGGAAGACTGCATCATCTGAAAACCATATGTAGGGGTACACAATTTTGCTTACTATGATAAATGCTCAAGTAGACACATCAATCATCATCCAACTTCTTACTCTGCAATTGTTGTGTTTGCATTGAAAACCTTATTTCTCCCATACTCAGCTCTAAGTGGTAATTGCCTGTTTAACCTCTCTGCATGCCTGCCATGGAAAACTCTAGCCCCTAATGTAACCCTAAGACACAACAAACACTTTTGAAAAGACAACATACATTATATTATTTGATATTTAGGTTTACATTTTACCTTTTTGGTCAGTGAGTCATCTGAGTCAGATGGCATTCGTGTGGATACATGAAAAATTACTTCCACAGTTGAAGTAGCATAATATGGGGCTGTTTGTCCTGTGCTACCATTACGTTGAAGGCCACCCATAAATCCACAGTGAGTTGAAAGATCAACCTTAATTAAGCAAAAATGAAGATTTTATCCTTAATCTGTAATTCTAAACAAACTGAGAGGAACTTCATAAAATATGAATTCTAAGTTTGTTTAGTAAAAAAGTTCCCTTAAATTCAAAGGGAACATTTTTACTAAACAAACTCAGAATTCATATTTTGTTTTGTTTTGTTTATTTTACCGGCTTATAAGCCATTCCAATTGAAGTCCATTCTAGGTGGTATATATCTCAGTCTTCATAAATTGGTATAAAACAACCCTTACATACTGCAATAAAATAACAGCAACCACCAGCCATAAAATAACACTATAGAGAAACATACAGCACTAGGAATCTAATCAGTTCGTTTTATGATCATTCCAACACAGAGTGCTTCAGATTAGATATCAAACATACCAGACATATCACAATTCAGATGTATTAGAAAAGTTAAGTGATTCCAGTGACTCAAGTAAATAATCCATGCCACAAGGTGTGACATCAGTGAATGCCAGTGTATTAAGTATTGGGTTGTTCAGACTCTGGAGTATCCAGAAGTGTGTATAATGTTCTCCTTATAAACATTTTATGGTGGATTTTCTGAATGAGGATGACTCAGCAAGTAAAACTGTTGCAATGGCCATTATACTATATTATTTGGTGCCATGTGGAACATATGTTGAACATATGTTGGGGTTTATAGGTGTTCTAAGTCAATAAAAAATATACTATTAGCTTTCCTGGGCCTGCTTTGCTAAGCACCAAGCTAAGTGATGGTACATGTCCTCTGATCTTATGGGAAGGAGGGAACAGGCAATACACGAGAGTGGCATTCAGGCTCAGTAACAAAAGAAATGCTGAATTAAGTGGATTAGCACCAGTCAATCTAAAATGTGGAGAAATTAATACACCTCAAATATTCCATTACCACATTAATATTATTATTTGAAACTAGACATTTGACTAATATTTACCTCCCAACCCAATCCAGCAATAAAATCTTCATATGCTTGGCTTCCTTGTGGATTGGACAATATTGAGCATTTATCTTCTTGTCCTTCAGCAATGTAAACTACTGCAATCTTGTGAGTTTCACGACTGCAATTGCAAAAACAAAAAAAACCCCATTGTGTTACATTTATATATTTCTACTCTGAAGAGTTAACATGCAGTGTGAAATAGGTTTAAACAGAAATAATTAAGAATGTGTAATTTAAAAAATTATATACAAAAGAGAATGTGCAAAATACAAATGGGCTGCATGGGCAATTTTTCAAGACAGGAAGAACCATCAGGAGTAATTAAATTGTTTTTGAGGGCTGTCTTTTGCCACTCCTACCTTCTATTATTTATTTTTTTTTAGTGCCTTTGAGTCAGTGTTGACTCCTGGTGACTGCCTGAAAAAGTCCCTGCAGTTTTCTTGACAAGGTTTTTCAGAAGTGGTTTGCCATTGCCTACTTCCTAGGGCTAAGAGAGAGTGACTGGCCCAAGGTCACCAGTTGGTTTTGTGCCTCAGGCAGGACTAGAACTCATAGTCCCTTGGTTTCTAGCCTGATGCTTTAACCATTACAACAAACTGGCTCTCTTCCACTTTCTATATAACAAGTCAAATATTGTTCTGGAGCTGCCACTTCTTTCCAGGAACATTTGGGAACAATATCCAAGGCAATATTTGGTGGAAAATGATAGCTGGTGGGAAGAGATTCATGACTGCCATTAGAGCAAAACAAAAATGCTAGTTCATACAGGGTTTTGAACAGTATCCTCTTCTTCAACTTCAGTTCCCTGTTAGCTCTGATGCTAATATTTTCATCTCAGGCTGTAAAGGTGGGAGTTTACAGTTCACTGGAATTTTCAGTGAAAGTTTATAATGTATTGTGACTTGTTGCTACATTCAAAATGTATCACTTTCATCATATTATAAATTCCAGTCTTAAGACAGCAATTGGAAGGTATGAACATTCCTCCTTCAAATTCATAATCTTACTTTCTAGTGTATGGTAATCAAATAAAAGCTAGTACGATAAACTCATATAAAAGATTAGTATGGTAGTTACTTTTTGTTAAGGATGTACTCAACATTTTGCACATAAGCAAATTTATGCATATACACTAAGAACTGAAAGCATATCTTTCTGTGCATCTTTTATTATTATTGGAGAAAAAACCACTCTAGTTTTGATTGGAAGCCAACCAGCACATAGTATTAAATATGTTATTAGAAAGTATGTATTTTGTTTTTAAAAATTAGTGGGACAACTGGGGTAATATTGAATAATCAGCAGTGTTTCTGCTAAGAATAAAAAGTGTACATGGAATTGATAGCGATTCAGCTTGGGACTAGAAAGGGAATGGTTAACTTTTTCATACATGCTATGAACCCAATGAAAAACATATTTTAAGTATATTTTAAAATTGGGCATTGCTTTGCTGAACATGCTTTATATGAGATAGCTTAGCTATGTACAGAAAGTGAACAATGGGTATGAGAAACATTCTGCTGATACAGGGTCTCTAGGGGATCAAGATTGAAATGGGTGTGATGTGAGGTCTTTTGTAAAATGAACTCTCAGAAAGAGTTTAGCCAACTAATGACAATAGAGCAATCTGCAAGATCATAACACCATATAAATAAAAGTTTTCAGTGGATAAGATAGAAATATGTGTCTAAAAAACAATATTCTGCTACCTATACTCATGTCTTTCAGTTGAATGAAATATGTTTCCAATCTCATCAAACACCATTTTTAGAATCATAGATTCATAGAGACATTTAAGCCACCAAATTCACCCCTTGCTCAGTACAGGTATTCAAATTAAAGATTCCAGAAATAGGACTGACTACCTTCTGCTTGAACACATCCAATGAAGGGAAACCAATCACTTCTTTGGGTAAATGGTTTGTGAGGGTTCTTTGCTTTCCAAGGACTGGACACACCACAGCATAGCAAATCTGTACACAATGCTTTATTACAGCGCAAACCTTCCCCAACAACAGACTATTGCTCTCCATCCTTCTAAGATTTGCAAGGTGATGTTGCCATGTAAATACATCTTTAATATTCAGTCTTTTAATACTTAATTCAAGCAAAAGTCTGTAAGTCTGTAAAGTGGCAAAGAAACTTTGCCTTTTTCCAAATGTTCTTACTCTAGTTGGGATGAGGTACTGCCTTAGTTTGGTTGTTCTTCTAGCTGCTGTTGAGCTCCTAGCAAAGCTTCAAGCTCCAGGCAGAACTTCCACCAGGATATGCTGGTCACCCTAAGTTGTGGCCTGGCAGTTGACTAATAGTTCTCTTGCCTGCTAATAGTTCTCTTGCCTGCTCGCCTCTGCTTCCCTGTCTGTATGGTCTGTATGCTGTTCGCTTATCACCTTTCCTCTTACACACACATCTGCACACACCTTCCCCACTCTGTCTCAGCATTTGCTTTTTTAAGCTAAGAGCCTGGGTGCCTCTGGACATCAGCACATCCTTGAAAATGCCTGGGTGTGGTTCAATTATCACAGGCAGCTGAACACTGGCTTGGATGCTTATGAGTAAAGGCTGAGTTAGGGAAATGAGGGAAATGGAGTGAGAAGTGTTTCTGCCTGGCTGCAGCTACTTTTCCTAAGCACAGACAGCAACCCCAACTTCACTCCCTCACATGGTTCCACTATAAATTACAGTTAATTTTTTTTTATAATATTCAGTTGGAATCTGCCTTTCTGTACCTTATCTACATTATTTCATATGCTACACAACAGAACAAAAGCAGATCCTGATCTTCTTTTATGTGGCAACCTTTCTGCTGTTTGAAGAGAGCCATCTTTTCTCCCTTATCATTTCTCAAGGCTAAACATACCCAGTTCTTTTAGTGTATCCTCACAGAGCTTAGTTTCCAAATCATCTTCGCTGCCCTTCTCTGACACTGTTCTTTGAATTCTTCTTAAAACTAAGTGCCCAGAACTGGATTCCGTACTTAAGGTGGGGTCTGACCAAAGCAGAACAGAGTGGAACAATTACTTTTGATTATTTGGAAAAGCTTCATTTGTGTTCTCTGTAGTCACATTACACTGCTGGCTTATATTCAGTTTGCAATTAAATACTACTTCAAGATCTTTTTTGCAAGATAATAAGCCAGATACCCTCTTTTTGTTCTAAGATCTTCACTAAGTTTTTATGTCGCTATACTGGCTTCTTTTGTTGTGCATCATTTATTCTTGTAATTGGAATTGTTTACAATCATGCTTTTAGTATTTTAGAAAATCTCACCCATCTTGAATCTCCTTTCCTATTAGACATCTTGCCGTGTGATCCTACTTATCATTCACTGAATTTATTAAAGTCCACTTCTTATTCTTTCTAACCCAGTGAAATGTTAGAAATAAATTAAAGAGCTGGAACTTTGTCTATCCTATCGCAGAACAATTCTCCAAAACCAAAGCAAAACAACCAGATTTGGTGTGGAGAGAGAAGCTGGCAAAAAGAAAGATTGAGTCTGAGTATAAGACAAATCCAACTAGGAGCTGCAGAGAAAAAAAAAATCCACAACAAATTCCACCATACAGGTAATCCTTGAGTTACCATGCTAATTGGGATCAGAATTTCCATCACTAAGTGATGCGGTTATAAAGTGCGATGTCATGTAACCACATCGTTTAGCCACGGCAATCCCGGTAGTCCCCACTGCCTTTGTTAACTGAATCCCACTGGTTGCTAGCAAGGACCCATCCCAATCCAAGCCATTCCTGGCTTGGTCCCTTCCAGCCCTGAGCCTCGATAAGGCAAGGGACTGCCTCCTCTGCCTCCTCTTGAATTCCCCTCACCTACATGTCTCTCTGCCATCTCTGCCTTTTTGGCTACCTTGCACAGTGGCACTGCTTGACGGTGGCAGCACTGGGACTGAAGTAGAGGCCCAGGGTCTTCAGCAGTCTCAGGAATGGCTTGGATTGGGATGGGTCCCATGCCACCCCAGTGCAACAGTGCAAAGCCCTAGCCACCCTGCACTCCACAGGCTCTACCATGCCCATCTTCACTGTCTTCCTCCCACTGTTGCCAACAAGGAGTGCTGCTGTACAGCGCAGCCAAAAGGGCAGAGATGGGGGAACAGATAGGCAGGTGGGGGGAGTTGAAGCACCCTGTGGTTGTAAGTGTGGGTGGGGTGCCAAGCACCTGGATTGTGATCACATGACCAGGCGTATCCTTCATTCAGTGTTGCTGTAACTTCAAATGGTCACTGAAAAAATGGTTGTTAAGCAAGGACTATCTGTACATTCTCATGATACAGAGACAGTTAGCTAGAGGCTCAGAATGTTCCCCAATGTATTTTAACTCAGACACTCTACGGCATTTGGATTTCTGAACAAGAAGGGATATTTTTAACGCATGTTGCAATTCCCCCTTATCTATTCTATCTCTTCTTTTTGAACAAATGATATTCCAATTTCTTTATTCCAATGATGGAAAGGCACCCATCAGCTCCTTATGAAATAATACTTTCTCTTCTGTGCTATGATCTCATATCCAACTTGTTTATTTCTCATAATTTGAGCACTGATGTATACAGGATGGAAGGCATGAATTTTTTAAGCTAATATTGTTTCAAACATTTCTTTGAGTGGTTTAACAGGCTCCACTTCAGCAACACTCTCACAATCTACAGTGCACTAGTCTTCATCTGAGGTCCTTACTTGAGAGTTTTCATTTCCACCCCCACAGAATTCAGTTTAAAGCCCTCCTAATGCACCTTGTCATGCTTTGTCTGAACATACTTTTGTCAGTCCTTGTAGTGAAAACCAACAAACCAGTAACCTAGATGACTCCAAACCATGGTCCGGGAAATCAAATCTGTTTCATAGACACTATTTACAAAGCCAATCACTGTCTGGCCATATATTTATTTTCCTTTCTAATGGATTGGAACGATGCATGAAAACATCCCAATAAAGATACTAAACATATTAAAATGATGGATGGCTGCAGCCCAATGCTTAGTTTAACAGAACTTAGCTTTAGTAGCATGCCCATCTTCCCATTACCAGATATCAAATCAGAACCACTGTACCACACTAGCCATTTCTACCAGCCTTCAGTGGTCTTGAAGCAAATGCGCAAAGTGGAGTGGTTTCCTCTGATGCTTTCAACTACACAGGAGTTGAAATGACTCTGTAAAGTGAAGCAGCACTGCTTCGCTCAGCCTTAATAAGGCATGTGAGAGACTGAATTGCCATTCTGTCATTCTGGCCATTCCATTGCCAGACTGTAATCAAAATAGATCAGGTTTGACAACTTGTATCCTTTCAGAATTCCCAACTAGCATTGCCAAATAGTTACAGTTATAGTGATAGTTGTTATAATTATATATCATTATGGCCCGCTGGACCTGTCTTCTAATGGGGAGGAAGAAGAAGCATCTAGCTATCTTGTTGGCTAGCGCAGAAAGCCAGCACAGAACGTATTTAAAACGGGAATTCCTCTGAGAATAGTATGAAGCAATAAGACCGAAGATGCTGTACACACAAATTTTCTAAGCAAAGCATCACCTCCCTTTTCACTGCTTTTTCCTCCAGTTCAGTGCCACAGGGAAATCCATTCTTATTTATGGTGGTAAAAATGAGGTCATTATCTGTGGTTCCATTAACTTGGACAGAACAATATAACCAGGCTATAATTTGATAAGTGAACAAATGTATACCCCTCAAGTTTAGATCTTGGCAATCTGCATTTTTCCTCTCTTAAAAACAAACAATTATTAAACCTAAAAAGTTTTAAACACTTTCTCCCCACATGGGCTGTATCTTTTTCTTCTACTCATTCAGCCCTAGGAGCTCACATGTCTTTTTTTCTCTTACTGTTTTTATTCTGTGAATTTGACATGTATATAAGCTATGAAATATAATGCTATAAAGTATTGCTACAGCTGTTGAATTCTACTTCATTTGGCATTGTTTACATCTTGGCTAGATATTTCAACCAAAGATCATTGCATATCATCTATTAAAAATTGCAGGTTTGTTTTCCAGCATTCTGAATATTGTTTTAACCACAGATGCATGCAATTCTATTTAAATCATTTATAACATATTATAAATCAAATTATAGCAGGACGCCTTAAAAAAACATTGTATATAATCATTAGAGTTGTTCAGAATACAGTCAATAAACATTGCTAACAAACCATATGGAAGGATGGAGACACACAAACAGGGAGGCATATGTGTCAGGAAGGAAAAGAGACTGACATAAAGATTATGGAAACTGAGATAAAAAGTGAAGGAGCAGAAGAGAAGGAAAGGGCTAGTAAGGATAGTCTTGAGATATCTTGGCTGCATCCAAGATAAATTAATTCATTTTTATTGCTCAAAATTATGAGATTTCAATAAATTCAGCCAAAGTGAACAGTTTGTCTCTAAATTTAATAGGTAAAACCAATCCAAAACTGTCCAAGGATCAAATTTGTGTGGATAAGTAAATTTTATGTATGTATGTATGTATGTATGTATGTGCGTATGTATTTATGTTCAAAACCAACATGGTTTTGTATGGAATCTGTTCATAATTATGCATTTACATATTGTAATTATAAAGAGTAAGATATGTAATTTTAGAAAACAACATAAAATACTAAGTTGCATTTGATAATATAAGCATATTCATGAACTGTATGTAGTTACAGTGTTTAACTTACCATTGTCTTGAGTCCAAATTTTTCAGCTCTCTCAACAATTTAGAATTTTTCTTCAAAATATTAAAACATTTTCTAAAATAGAATACAAATTATGGCAGAATGTCTCATTAATACATAACTGATATATTTCTGTTACTAACAGGAATTACATACTTTTAAAAATTACAATAAAAACATTAAAGCTGCCTAAAAATCCTATACTCTGGCTGCTTTTGGCTCCCATTAATATAGTAACTTGTGTTTAGTGATCCAGTACCAGGATCTAGTGATCACTTAGTACCAGGTATCTAAAGCACTTGGATAAAACAAAGCCTTCTATAACTACTTACGTAGCTTACTGAGCATGGAAGCATATTAGTGACTTGATTTCAGGTTATCTACTATGTAACTTTTCTATTTTCAAATTACAATCTCTACCTTACCTATAACATTTCAATTATGGAAATACATTAAAATTGAAATATTTCCTGCCAAAATGCAATGGTTTCCGTTGTAAATTTGACAATAGTGTGTGTATGTATGTATGTGTACATACATACTTATCTGAGAGGAAAAATGAGCGAATTTCAGTTAGGTGATATCTGGAAAACAAGACAAATAATAAAGAAAATTGTGACACCTTAAAGATTAACATACTTCTTATGGTATAAACCCTTAGATTAGATACTGAGGTTCATGGGTTGTTATTGTTGTTTTGTTGCAGAAGGCTAAAATGGCAGTGCCTATGCCTTTGAAACTGATAGTGAAAACATAAGAACTACTTTTTAAAGATTTATCATGGCTAGTGGTGTCTAATTATCCTAATTTATTTCCCAAGTTTGTGATCTTTGCCCAGATCTTTGCCCTGTCCTTTATTAAGGAGACAGAAGAAAAGATGAAATTGGAGGGGATGGATGATTTTACTGTTAATTTCTATTCTTAAATTACCCAGGAGGCATTCTCCACCTTGTGACAGCATTCCTTTTAGAACTTGCAAGAGTCCAGTCTTCAAAACCTCTTCACAGGGAAGAGTCATCTGCCTCCCAGACCAGACTGAAAGAGCAAGATTGCCCCTCAACCCCAAGAACTTAAGTTTTCCTCCTTGTAATTTACTGCAAGGAAATGCAGAGAGTCAGGATGCATATAGTTAAACTATGAAATGTATTGTCAGAAGTCGTGGTAATGGCAGCCAGACAGTGTGTAGAGGATCAGGTTATCAATGCCTACTAATAATTGATGTCTGTTTACTATCTTCTGAAATCACAGGCAGAAAGACTTATATATTGGCTGCTGAGAAGCAACACATTTTTTAAAAATAGGTATAAAGACTGAGGCCCTCCAATTGAATGCAATCATTTTACTGGTCCCAGAGACTTTGCTTTTAGGAACTCCAGTAAGACATAACTGCTCTACAGGACCCTACTTTTAAGAGTGGACTTGCCTGCAAGTTCCAGGAGGAGGCACCACCCCAAGGTGGAGAATGTTTCCTGCACAACTCAGGAAAATGAACAGGTGACCAGTTACCCAAATAAAGAAAAAGGCAACAACAACAATGAATAATAAAAAGTAGTAGTACAGGGAGCTCTGAGAAACTCCACAAACTTAGCAGTTGACACTAATTTGGGAATCATGCTGAGCTGAGCTGCAGAAGGAGAGTAGATTTTTTTTTCTTTTGCAGGTAGTACAAGAGTTCTGACTGGAATTCTGGGAAGGGGACCGCCAATTTAATTCTGTCTATTCTAGCCCCATTCTTCTATAAAAAGAGCTCCATATGCCCTCACTTGCAAGTGACAGGAAAGCAGTCCTACTTTCATAAGTACTGTAGGTAATGAATGCCTGACCATTTGAAGGCAGCTTTTAAAAAAGAATAAACAGACATAAGAAGCTTTCCCTCCACTCCCTGTACACAATTCAGTTAGAAGAAGAGGTCAACTTGGTTCTTTTCTCAGTTAAAAAAAAGACTTAGCTCTCCTCCTCTTTTCTTAGGAAATAAATATCACCTGAAGATACAACCTTACAGTACATGATAACTGTTTACTAAGGAAGAAGATAGAGTAGAGAGGCTTCAGGAAACTTGTGACTTGGGCCATCTTAAAAAAAGAAGAGAGAGAGAAAACAACAAGGGTAAAATGACTTCTCTTTCTCCCAACCCCTGGATGCTAATTAGAATTTGGCCCCTAACTCACTAAAAATTGCTCTCCCACAATTGGTGAGAAAAAGCAAACAGTCTTTCAGTCCATCACTATTGGGGAAGGCAGCAATGGTTTTTTTTGCAAAATTCTTAGAATACTGTCATGGTTTTGATCAGGAAGAAGCACTCTTCTGCAGGGAGATTTCTGTCTGGGCAATACTGGACAATATAGTATTCTTTTTTAAATAACACAGAGTGAATGCTTACCTTTTTTCCCAAGAATTCATTCCTAAGTCATTTAGCAAGAGCCTACATAAATGAAATGATGACTGCAGCAGAGCAGATCTTGGCATCTTCTGACTTTCATTTTTTGTATTATGATTCAGATTGTATCCATGAGCATATTCATTTTCTGTGCAACTCTGCTGCATTACTGCTTCAATGATGTCAGTAACTTGATCATGACTCATGGCAGATGGGAATGGGGATGGCTCATTTAATTTTACTTGTGGGTGTAAAAGGCACTCAGGACTACTACTGCCAATCCTTTCTAGCAACTTATCAAGAGCATCTTCTCCCTCATCTATCTGAATGAAATCAGCTGGAGTCTCAAAGTTCTGTTTATTTTTTTCCATAACTGCAGAGAATTTTCTGTTCTTCTGATTTAATGAACAAGTAGCTAATGGTCCATGCATCAATTGTCCGTCCCATGAATACTTTCCTGAGATATCCCTAACAATTACTCTTACTTCTGAAAAAGATTCTTCCAGTTCATCATTTATCCCCTTTTTTGAAGGAATTTGTAGGTAAGAAATGACAGTATTGTCATTAAATTCAAAGAGCTGTAAATTGGGGCTTCTGAAGACTTCAGGTGAGAGTTCAGAAGATTCCATACAAGAATTGTTGTGATTTTCACTAATAAGACTATGTAAAACAGCAGGTCCTTCAGTCAGAGGATAATGGCCCAAATTGTTTACTAGATGTGCCATAATCATTCGTGCTGTCAGTGGTATTAACTCCAAGCTCCTCCTCTTCATTTCTGAAAGCAATTAACAATGATAATAATTAAAAAAAAATAAAACAGCCAGCTAATATATATATTTTACTTTTCCAATTTTAAAACTTGGGGCAGGGACAAGGTGGACAGCCTCATTTTTATAAGTTTCTGAAATGAGGAAGGTACAAGACATTCAGTCAGGTCCAGAAATATTGGGACATTGACACAATTCTAACATCTTTGGCTCTATACACCACCACAATTACAATGTGCAGATAAAAGGCCCAGAGTTCATTTCAAGTGTGCTATTTGCATTTTCAAAAACAGGAAGGCCAGATTAGAGTTTGCCAAACGACATCTAAAAAAGCCTTCACAGTTCTGGAACAACATCCTATGGACAGATGAGACCAAGATCAACTTGTACCAGAGTGATGGGAAGAGAAGAGTATGGAGAAGGAAAGAAACTGCTCATGATCCTTCAAAAACAGGAAGGCCAGATTAGAGTTTGCCAAACGACATCTAAAAAAGCCTTCACAGTTCTGGAACAACATCCTATGGACAGATGAGACCAAGATCAACTTGTACCAGAGTGATGGGAAGAGAAGAGTATGGAGAAGGAAAGAAACTGCTCATGATCCTTCAAAAACAGGAAGGCCAGATTAGAGTTTGCCAAACGACATCTAAAAAAGCCTTCACAGTTCTGGAACAACATCCTATGGACAGATGAGACCAAGATCAACTTGTACCAGAGTGATGGGAAGAGAAGAGTATGGAGAAGGAAAGAAACTGCTCATGATCCTTCAAAAACAGGAAGGCCAGATTAGAGTTTGCCAAACGACATCTAAAAAAGCCTTCACAGTTCTGGAACAACATCCTATGGACAGATGAGACCAAGATCAACTTGTACCAGAGTGATGGGAAGAGAAGAGTATGGAGAAGGAAAGAAACTGCTCATGATCCTTCAAAAACAGGAAGGCCAGATTAGAGTTTGCCAAACGACATCTAAAAAAGCCTTCACAGTTCTGGAACAACATCCTATGGACAGATGAGACCAAGATCAACTTGTACCAGAGTGATGGGAAGAGAAGAGTATGGAGAAGGAAAGAAACTGCTCATGATCCTGTGGTGGTGTATAGAGCCAAAGATGTTAGAATTGTGTCGATGTCCCAATATTTCTGGACCTGACTGTATAGTCTGACACGAAATTAATCATTTTAAGAATAGTATCTGAAGATATGCTATTTGTGGGTTTGAAACCAGAGATAGGTTTGCTCCCAGTATATTTAAAGACACCACATTATTTAACCACAAACTGAAGATTAAAGAAACGTTAGGAGACAGATTTTCAAAAATCTGCATAACAGAGCAAAAGATCCGGAGCAGTTTATTATTCCAAATGAGGGGTGCATATGCAATTACTGTTTAATTTGCTCCTATCTGTGCTCAAGACATCTAAAGTTTAAACCAGCTTAAGACAGTTTGGCAACATCATGCACGGTATACAGTCCAGACTGAAGGTTACTACATCATCCCGTTGGACAATTCCACTGCTGCCTCCCACCTTTCTGTGCCAGAAAAGCAACACCCAATTGCTCTCCTTAATTTAATTTAATTTAATTTAATTAATTAAAACTGCAAATCTTAATCCACATGCATGCTTTTAAAAATATATTGTTTAAATTTATTTAATGATACCTGAACACTGAAAACAAAACAAAACAAAAAAATTGTGAAGAGGGGAAAAAGGGAATATATTAAAATTTTACAAAATACAAAATAGTGTTTTTTTTCTTTTAATATTCTGTAAATTCTTTCCATAAGAAAAAAATCCACTATTTGTCTTATAAGTCACATTATACTGGAATGCATATAAAGATAATCATAGAGTTTAGCACTTTAAGAACTAATATTAGAAGCAGATCAGAGTTTGACAAAAACAGCCAAAGTAATAAGAATTAGTAGTCAAAGTAATAAGAATCTGAAGCAGTCAATCCTTAACTTTATGGTCAGTCAGAAAAAATCTAGTGTTCTAAAACCTTATGTTGAAAAAAATCTGAATCGGATATGGCAAAATGTAATTTCCAGTGAAAAGCATAGAGTATACTAGCAGCATTTATATCTATAAAGTCAATTTGCTATACTGTGTAGGAATCTAAGGTTTGGTGATACTTAACAGAAAAACAACTAGCAGAAAAGCTTAAGTAAGCATTTGTTTCATCCTACGATGAATCATTTTCTAAAGCTGCTGAGCTTTGTGACATTGCTACCAGATATGGAAAAACAATCAAACCTGGTTATTACATTTCCAAGAGTGTTCTGAATATGTATTATTCATTTTGGCAATCAACAATGGAACAATATACCGACAAAAATTTTTTTCATACCAGTGTTTCCTGACCATAATATTCACAGTAAAGTTAATATCTGCCTTCCACTGATATCCCCTTTGTTGCATATTAATTGTCCTGTTTAAATTCTGCATCCACACAATCATGTAGTCTTTGACTTGTTTAATTTCTGAATCACATTTCAATAACCACTTATATATATATAAGCCCTAGCAGATGTTCTGTGTTAGAAGCATTCCAAATTCAGACAAATCTCTTAATATGCCACCACATATACACTTTTACATATATGTAATATATGTACATATGTGTATGGGCTTACATACCACGCACATATAAATATAAAAATTATATATACAAAGTTAAAGTACCAGGATGCACAGATATGCAACCCCAACAACTGCTTTTAAAACAAAACATCCTTTTTTGTGAACCATTTTGCTCTATGATTTCTAGATCTTCCCTTTAACATCAGAAGTAAAATAGCACAGTGGCTAAGAGCTTTACCTAGTAAAAGTTTACTGATTCAGAACCCAGCAGAAATGTGGTGGATGGTGTTTTTTTTTAATTTACTATATTCTTTCCTTAGCTAGCTTTCCCTAGGAAGTTGGAGGCTTTAAAGAAGAAAAGTACAGGATTCCATGATTTCATCTTTTTTCCAGGCACTTGAGATAAAAAGGTTATACGCTATGCTATTTAACTGCTGTTGGAAAAGGAAATGTCTTAGAAGCTCTTAGAGATAAAGATAAATATTGCTTCATTTGAGGGAGTATTCCTTCTTCTGCAAAGTAGTCAATGAACTTCTAGGGTTATAAGGAAATAAAGTACCACAGCTTGAAAGAGACAATAGTACTCAAGGCGACATAAACGACCACTTTCAAAATGCAGGAAATGGACCCAGAGGTCAAATTTGTGATAGGAGAGAGATACAGGTATTCCTCGACTTATGACGGCAACTGGGACCAGAATTTCTGTCGCTAAGCAATGAGGTCATAAAGCGGGACCACATTGCTTAGTGATGGCAATCCCTGCAGTCCCGGTTGCTGTTGTTAACCGAATCCCATGGTCATTAGGCGAGGCAACTTCCTGCTGGCTTCCCACAACCAAAGTCAGTCCCAGGCCACAGGCAGGTAAGTTGCTGCTGTCGGGTGGGGGAGGGAGTGTGTGGGGGAGGGTACGAGGTAGTCCACGAGAGGCGGGGTGTGGGTCAGGTGCATGAGGGTGGGAGGGGGTACACAAGAGGTGCAGTGTGAGTCAGAGGGGGTGCACAAGGGTGGGAGAGGGTGTGTGAGAGGTGCAGTGTGCATCAGGATAGTGAGTGAGGGTGCAAGGGGATATGCAGAAGGCATGGTGCAGGTCAGGGAGGGTGTGCAGGGGTGTGTGTGGTTGGTGCAGTGCAAGCGTAGAGGGGCTGGGGGAGGTGTGCGGGTGGGGGAAACTTACCCCAGCAACTTGCAACCTTCCCTGCCAGCTTCCCCACTGACTTTCTGGAGAAGCTGGCAGGGAAGGTTGCAAATGGTGATCACGTGGTTGCAGGGTACTGCAGTCAGTCATAAGTGCAAACTAGTTGCCAAGCGCCCAGATCGCGATCACGTGACCATGGGGGTGCTGGGATGGCTGGAACTCCAAGGACTGGTCATAACCATAATTTGTTCAGCGTAGGTTGAGGACTACCTATATGCAAAGGCTGGCATTGATTTCTGCCCTTAAAATACAGTTGCTGATGATGGGGCAACTAGGCAATGCAGCTAAGCCCTTAGAGGAAATACTTCATTTGATTTCTCTTTGACTTATTTTAGGAATCATTTTAATTTGCATGCTCTGAATTTAAATTTAGGATCTAGGATGCACAGTATGTTGACAGAGGGAGTTGCAAATAGCAGCTGAATATTCTGTAATGCCTTAGTATACCAAAAGCTGTTACAAGGTTGTGAACCTTATTTAGTAGTCCTAAACATTTTTTAAAATTGTTACTGTATCAACTATTAATCTCTCCCTGCTGCTTCAGACAGCATGAGAGATGCTGGCAATTGCATTTTAACTATAAGATCCCTATCCCTGATCTAAGATTTGTAAGCAAACTGTTGAGATATCAGTTACCGATTGCTTACTTTAAAGGTTTAGTAGGAAAAAAAATCCTTGCACCAATTTCAGTTGCATTTGTGGGAAGGAAAAGTTGACAGATCTGATTTTTTTAAAAAAGAAATATATTGACACGAAGGAAGACTGAAAGGAAGCGAACTTTATGAGGTGGCAAATCTTTTAATGTGTATTTTATATTTATAAGGAAAAGTCTATAAGAATTATACTGTGATTGCCAAGGTAATGTCATTTTTATACATGGTAATTTTTACTATTAAAATACTGAATGCATTTTATTTGCATATGAATAATAACCAAATTATCTGAAGTGTGTTATTTGTTTCAGATTACAATTTCACTTTCTTCAATGACCTTTGGTTACAAAGGAAAATTCTACAAATTTACAGGGATGTGATAAACCAGCAGTTTCCAATCTTTTTTTTTATGCAGACATCATCATCATCATCATCCAAAACTTTTGAAAACTACTGCATAAGCTAGAAATTAGTCAGCAATGCAGCAGCTGTGTGTAGGATGCTACATGCATCTTCCTAGAGGGTATCTGCAAATTCTCCAACTTGAATAAAAGTGAAAGACACACACACCTCCACACAAATTTATTACTTAAATCTCACAAGATTGACAAATCTTATAGAGCTGTCAACTTAAACTTTTATTTATTTATTTACTCATACATACACGTTACATTTCTGTCTCATCTTTTTCTCTGGGAGCTCAAGATGGCATGCATGGCCATTTCCTCCCCCAAGTTCATCCCCAGTTAGACTGGGCTGAGTGTGAACGACTTGGCAAAGGTAACCCTCATCTAAATTGAGCATCTAAACCAATATACCACATTGGCTTTTGGGAGATTTGGGGCAAAGATTGCCAAAACCTAGTGAGATTTGGTGATCCCATGCTATTTTGATTATTTTAAAACATAGTTTTAAGTCGACATCCACACTAAGAACCATTTGCAGTTTCCTAGCAGGGTGCAAATATCCCTGGAGCAGAGACTGAATATCACTGTGACATATTATTCTTGAATTATCTTCTGGGTTATTATAAACCTTGAACCTCAGCACAAACATATCTGAAACTATTGGGTTCTAGACTATTATTGGAGAATCCCTTTATGAAGTATTCTTGCCAACTGTTATTATATAATAATAGTTAGGTTTCTCTTGTTTGCATATGTCAGTCCAGGATTTTATCTAAGTATGAAAACCGTTCCAAAAGTAGCTTTTATTGAAAAGGAAGCTTCCCCCTTGCCTTGCTGCAGCTCCTTGAAAAAGTATTGCATGAACCCCCTGGTCTTCAAGAAAGGCTTGAAATATGGACGAGAAATTGTAGTGAAGAAGAGAAGGAAGTCAGGTGGAAGCAACTTGCATCAGTACATGCTCCAACATGCCACCTCCAAATTGAGGATTTATCGTATCTTAAACATAATGCTTACATCTATTGGGGTTTAGTTCTTGTAAAACATGTATTTTTCTTTTTCAGAGTTTTCAATGAATAGACTTAAAAGGTACTGTTCTCTTTCAAATTATTTATTACCTTCAGCAACAGTGAGCAAATTATTCAGGTCTGCAGAAGACTGAAACGGAATCAGTTCAGAATTCCTAACATTTCCTAGGGGCATAAAGGGATCATAGATCTCACTGGAGAGGTCTGCAAGAGTTAAAAGATAATGGCTTTGCTGTGTGTAAAGACTTGAACCATAAACACAACAGTTCAGGATCTGCAATAAAACAAGAAAAATATAAAAAATGAAATACCACAAAGTTCTTCAAGAGAAGACACTTTAGAGATGCTAAATCACTCCAACCTGAGCTTTTAATTGTTATGAACACTACTAAATTGAACATGAAACTGCATGAGTAATCCCTTGAACAGCATCTTTTTAAATAGCAGATATAAGGAAACAGCCATAATCTGAAATGGGGTACTGAAATGTTCCTGAACACCTGTTCTACTTCACATTTAAAGTACATAAAGTATATAGAAAAACAAATGTGACAGTGATACATTTGAAAATGTATCTAATATATTGGAACAATTGAAAAAGAATGAGCAATGTCCGTAGCACATGCGTCAGTGACAAAACTGGTGTAACAAGGGCAGGATCTCAGACAGCTGTGCACAAAGCCTGGCTTAGTTCGGCCATCAAACCTAGTTCAAAACCTGTTAATATGAGTTTTCTGTAATTTTGTTTCAGTATGCTGCTGTTTATATAAATAGGTACTAGGAAGTGAAATATTTAGATATGACCATGCTTACCCTATAAATATAATCAAGCAATGGAGTATTAGAAGAATGTTGATTTTCAAAACTGGAAGTAAATACAGGCTCCAACAGTATCTTCACTGGCAACGCCATGCACCAGTCCAATAAGCAAAGTAATAATGAAACTATAAACTAAAACAGAAATGTCCAAATATTAGTTCTACTTAGAAAGCCGGAAAACTTGACCTAACAAAAGAAAATTTACCAGGAAATATATGATGTGTAATCAAGAGAATATGAACTGAAAAATCTATGAACAAATACCATCCATCACCAGTAACGTTATTTTGAAGGGTCCCTGGTCATCTATTTGAAGCCTAAAGGAGAAATTTGCTCTCTCCCCACAAAACAGCAATTGTCAATCATACAAACCAAAGTGCCTAATTTAAACATTAGCTTCTTGTGTTAACTATGCAACATTAGGCTAAAATGAAGGCAGCTTATCATCACATACCTTTTTATCACTTTCCACAGAGGAGTATTCTGCACTTGGTAACAGAAATGCAATAGTGGCAACAAGGATCTGTGTCAAAGCAATTTCAGAATAAATTTACAGAAATGTTTGGTTTACCCAAATCAGTCAACACATAGGACAGCTCAAAAATGTTAGTGAAATATGAATAATTACTTTGAAATAAAATATATACCCTTTACCTTCTCCAACTCTGTTAACCTAAAAGAAACAATTACCGAAGTTTCCAAAAGGAAGAAAATTTTGTAACAGTGGTATTTCCTTTTAATTCAGAGACTTGCAGTCAGCGCTCCTTGACCTTGCAAAGATGAGTTTCAGCAATCAGCAGCTTAATGCCCTAGAACGTCCCGCAGCTTTCTACCAAAGCTGCAATAGCTGATAATATAATATTTATAATGAATGACTATGTGAATGGACATATGGATAGCTAATATACTGTAGAAATGCCAGTCTTAAAGACAGCAGAGGGTATCCTTGTCTAATGAAATGAGTAAAGATTCCCCTACCAGCTAATTTCTGATGCCTTGATATATTTGGAATGTTTGTGAATGATGGACTTATATAAATGTTGTCCAACATTTTCCTATTAAATGAAACTAGGCAAAGATTTATACAATCTGAAGAGAAGCCAGAGTATGAAACTAGTAAGTTGCCCAACTTTCCCCATTCAGGTATTCTATCTAAATAGAAACGTAGAACGTGATCTATATCCAACATACCAGCACTGTTCCTTAGAATGAACTAAATTCATTCTCCTCCAGAAGGATGGAGGCAAAGCTTCCTGGGTGTGATGAAAAACCAAATTAACTTTCAGCAGAAAGGAAGGATTTGGATGCAAGACCACTTTATGTCATGAAAAATGCACAACTGAGAATCCTCAGACAGAACTGCATCTCCAAAAAATCTGTAAATAGATGCAACTGCCACTAAAATGAGAATAAACTGTTTCTAGAAATGACTAAAGGTGCAAAGGGCTAGCCGTATGAACCAATCCAGCTGAGGTTCCAGGTAGAGAACTAATTTAAGCAGTAATCCTTATACAGTGGTACCTTGGGTTATGAACGCCTCTGTTAACGAACTTTTCAGGTTACGACC